CCACCATCCCACTGGAGCAGGGGGGAGTGAGCGAGCAGCTGTGTGGTGCTCAGTTGCCAGCTGAGGTTAAACCACAACACTTCCCCATCTACTTTAAACACTAGTGTTATCTACTAGATTTTGTGTACTACAATGCATAATCATTGAGCTCTGCTACCATTTAGAGCCTTAAAGAGCTCTGAGGAGGCAGTGCTTTATAGTAGTTTAACCACTTCTACCCCTGTAGATCATCTTCATAAGAAGCCTATTCTGTAGCATGTTTACTACTTAATAAACTGGCCAGGGTAAGAGAGTCTGATCATAATGAACAATAAATAACATAAACATTGAAGACTCCAAATGAAGGGATAGTAAGACTGGGGAGAAAGGAAATGGTGTGAAGATCCAGCTGATCTTTCATTCAGCAGCAAATAATAGGGAAAAAGGTCACGTTTTCACAGGGCACACTGAGATGTGCGAGCTAGCTTTGGCTATACAAACTCTTAAACTGAAGCACCAGTGGGCAAATACAGATACCCTCAGATTGGGTAACCAATTTCATAAAAATGTTTTTCTTCCAGACCTGAGCTGGCAAATCCACATGGTGCTCTACTGCACTATGTGCATTTATCAGCTTTCATCTCAGTAACTCAGAGACCTGTGCAACTCTCCATTGCATAGTGTCAGTATGCCCAAGATCTAACAGTGGCTAACACTGCTGTGAGAACCAACAGATATGATGACAGCGTCACTGCTGTAATACAAATTTAAGAAGACATCACCTTCAATAATACTATCTGATTGACTTTCTGCTCCCTGGTGTGCAAGTCCCATTGGTGGTATAGGATAGATGTGTCGCCACCATACTGAGAGCTCAGACTTCCAATCAGGCAGTAAGATGCAGTATCATCAGCTGTTACTTCTTCTGCCTTCTTTCCTTCTTCCTTAGATAATACAATCTCAGACTCAATCTCAAGATTTTTCTTCTGAACCTGCATATCACAAACATGATAACTGTGTTAATTTTGTACACGATCCAGTGGCACATGTATGAAAAAATTCTAGAGGTTATATTCTGCAGTTAAGCTCAATGATCAAAATAATGCGAGTTGAAATGATCATATCTGGAATATTGGATCCATTTGTAGGTTCCCCAGTACAAGAAAGATGTGGGCATACTGGAGGAAGTCCAGTGATAGGCCACTAATACAATTAAGGGTTTGAAGCATCTAACATGTGAGGACAGGCTGAGAGAGCTGGAATTGTTTAGCTTCAAGAAGGAGAAGGCTTGGGGGGATCTTAGTAATGCATATAAAAACCTGATTGTGGGGAGTAAGGACAACAGAGCCAGACTCTTCTCAGTGGTGCTCAGTGACAGGTTGAGAGGAAATGGGTATACATCAAAATACAGGACATCCAACTTAAACATAATAAAACACTTTTCCTGTGAGGGTTGTCAAACACGGGAAGAGGTAGCCCAGAGGTTATGGAATCTTCCATCCTTGGAGATATTCCAAACCTGACTGGACACAGCCCTGAGTAAATTGCCCTACAAGGGTTGGACTAGATGACTTCCAAAGAGCTCTTCTAACCTCAGCTATTCTGTGATTCTTTAATACTAATAAATTTGTTCTGAGTAAAAACACAACATTTCATCTTTATTTATCTTTCTAAAAATTTTTGGACAATTTCTACAGCAAGAAAATGGACCTTAGTAATGTATCTATGTAAAGAAGGGTTAAGATGCCAATTCAGAACATCCTGATCTGAAATGCCTTTATGAAGTACTTCAAAGAGATTGTACCTTAAGATCAGCTGTCTCAATCTTCTTTAACCGGAGAACTTTCTCCAAAGTTTCCAGCTCTTCTTCACTACGTTCCTTCAGTGGATAATTCTTCACTTCACCATCCATATGGAAGCACTGTTCAAATTTAAAAAAAAAACCAAAACAAAAACCCAAAGTAAAAAGTTCTTCAGAATGCACCTATAAATTCATTTGTTCAATACCTGAATGCTAAACAGTTATAAAGACTTCTTAAAGTCAGGAATAAAATTGAGGATCAATTAATATAGACAATATAGTAAAAATACAGGGGTAAGACAAAAAGACACTTGCCTTTTTGGTAGTGGAAATGTTTGGTTTAAAATTTGCTTTTTTCCTTCTTTTTTTTTTTTTAATAATCTATGGATATGGCTTCTTTCTTTATCCACAGAATTCAACCAGAACTAGATTTTTGGTAAAATGACTTGGTCTTTCACCACCCTTGAGATAATCCAGTATAATCAGTTTGACTAATCTCCCTCTGTTTAAAATAGGCAAAATCAGGGTTAAATTTTGCCTTTATGTTCTGTGTAGCAGAAGTCATACTGACTGCACACAGAAAAATATTTACCTCTCCTTTTAGCAACACTGCATAAAGATATTCTCTGAGATCAAGGAATTAAAGAGTTGCTTATTTGCTTATCAGCACTCTTGTCCACCTTAGAAGGTAAAATCAGGCAGGCTCAGACAAAATTAACAGAATGAAAGATTTGCGTGAGCCCTGGGAAGAAGTAAGTTTTTTCCCATACCATAAGCAAATCAGAAATGTGTTATACTTCTGTTTATTTTGTCTCTGTACCTTAAGCAATCAATAAACTACTGCAGAAAATGAGTTAGAAAGCAGAGGTTACCTTAACTGCACGTCCTTTTACACACATAGCATCCCAGCACCCATGTTTGATGACATCCTGCAAATAGCGGTTGGCTAAATTCTCCATCTCAATCTTCTTCCTCACCTTTCAAGATACAGAAAGAAAATAACAAGATGTGGTGCAAAATAACAAGATATGGGCAATTTGTATTGAGTTATCGAAATAAACCTAACAGATGAAATGAATTACCAATATTTCATCATCTTAGACTATTGCAGCTATCTTCTCCAAAAACTACATTGCACACTACTACTACTGAAAGGCATCATTTTATATGGGAAGAAAAGCATTATAGAACTTAAGCAACGTGCCCAAGGCCACAGCATCAGATTTATAGTTTTCAGCATAGATCATATTCCAATTGGCAACGTCTGCATCAGCAGCTTCACCTGCTTCAAAAAGTGACTTAAATACTTTTAAGCTTTCCTGCTTCTCAGCAGTGAACAGCAACTTTGGGATCATCCTCTGTTCTTCAATCATTCTTTCTCCTTTTCACTGCTAATTTTAAAATGTTCTCCCCCCATTCTATCATACCCTGGCCACTTCTTGTTCAGCCTCTGCTTGTGCTCTTTCCTGTTCCTCTATATCCAGGTTGAACTCCTCCTGCTCCAGTTTCTCAATGTCTGGCACCTGTTCATTTTCATGCATCATTTTCTGAATCTGTTTTTTTAAAAATAAGTATAAGGAATAAAAAGTAATTTGAATGTGAATAGAGGAAATGCTATTTTTAACACTATAGAACTTGATATCGGTGAAAATTATTTTAATTGCCTCCACTTTTAACTGCTTCATGGTAACTGGTAGAATGTGCTGCCTGTAGCTAGTGACAGAGAGTACTATGTGAATATATTTCATCTTTCTCTTAAAGTTGATTTGGATGTTATATGTGAAGTTATGTACACTTTCTAAGAACCTGTAGTACACAATTCTTTATTCTCTGGTTCTGAGAACTTTATTAAGTTGTTATCACTTTATTAAGTTGTTCTCTATCTCATACGGTTCAACAAAGGGAAGTGCAAAATCCTGCACCCGGGAACAGCCCCATGCACCGGGACATACTGGGTGCCCAGCAACTGGAAAACAACTTTGCAGAAAAGTAGCTGGGGGTCCTGGTGGACACCAAGTCGAACATGAGCCAGCAATGCACCCTTGTGGCAAAAAAGGCTAATGGTATCCTGGGCTGTGTTGAGAGTGTTGCAGGTTGAGGGAGGTGAGAGACATGGACATACTGGAGAGAGTCCAATGAAGGTGATTATGGGACTGGAGCATTTCTCATATGAGGAAAAGCTGAGAGAACTGGGACTGTTCAGCCTAAAAAAGAAATGGCTTGGGGGGAATCTCATCAATGTATATAAATACCTGAAGGGAGTGTGCTAAGAAGGTGGAGCCAGGCTCTTTTCAGTGGTGCCCAGTGACAGGACCAGAGGCAATGGGCACAAACTGAAACACAAGAGGTTCCTCTCCAACATCAGGAAACACTTTTTTACTGTGAGGGTGACTGAGTACTGGAACAGGGTGCCCAGAGAGGTCACGGAGTCTCCACCCTTGGAGATAATCAAAATCTGTCTGGACATGGTCCTGGGCAGACTGCTCTAGGTGACCCTCTGCCTTATCCTCAGCAGATAGCAGTGTTTATGGAAGGAAACAGAAGGAAGGAGAGAGGACAGTAGTTTCTATAATGGAAGGTTGTTAGATAGGCAGAAACTAGTCTGCTGAGGGGATTGATTGCTCAAGGTATAAGGGTGGTACAAAATATTTATTTGGAGCAAAGGAAACTGAGAACCAGACAGTAGTTCCCTGCAGATTCTGCGTATAGTCCCTGAAGAAGCACGTCTCTCTATTACCTGTCTGCTCAGAGTTTATGACAAAAATGTAACTGAGCACTACAGCTGATAGCCATAAAAGAAGTGTACTTGTAAACAAAACTGGTAAGCTGAGCCATTATCCTTGTAAGAAACTCACAGTTTTACGCAGCTTTTTAATTCCCATTTGCAGCTCTTTCTTCTGGTTAGCAAACCTCTGAGTCTCTTCTCTAATGACCTGACATACAACAAATATTTTTAAAAGACAAAAATAGACAAGAAGAGAAAAAAAGATTGAAATAATCTAAAGGAACATTATCTGTACAGAAAACAAAACTCCAAAGGGATTAATAACTGAAACAGACATAAGCCTAACTCAATAGGATGATTCTTAGAATTGCTCAAGAGAAAAAAGACTGTACAACCAGGTCAAGTTGTAAACTGGTTGTACAGCAATAGAGCTTAAAAGAAAGAACATATTAAAGAAAGAAGTAATTACAAGTGCAACGATTACAGACATATTGAACTCCGTAAAGCCTACTGCCAGAATTTGTTAAGTGTTTTATATTCCTTAGATTTTTCATTGTCACTAAGCATTTCCAGTGGGATATTTAAAGACACAAGTAAACCAACATCTGTTACTCATTCTGGAAGCTGTGAAATTTTCTTTGCTCCTACAGACTTGCCAATTCATCTCTTAGGGAAAATTTTGCAATTAGTCTGCACCTCTGGAATTTGCTTTCTAAAATAAGTTTACAACTTTAAGTAGGATGATGGCTATTGATTGAAAGGAAGGAGTGTATCATTCTGACATTGGATGGACTCCATCCTCTAAAAGTCAGATGCAAGTCTCTTAGGACATTAACGAGCAGCTTAAAACAACCTAGGACCACATTGCTGCCCTTCAACCTTTGCTTCTCATCACCTGTCCCTAGCTGATACTAGTAGTCATGTGGTACTCGTGTGTATGCAGTCACATGAATTTGCCAAAAAATCCCAACAGAGACACCAATGCATGAGTGCCAGCATCAAAGCAGAAACAGGAGTACATGTCTGGAAGAGGGATGGAGAAGACACCACTTTCAGTGGCAATATGTCTTAGATTGACTCGAGCCACTTGTGAAACTGCATCATAATTTGGAAAGTCACTCCTGAGATCACCCAGAAAGCAAAGATGTTTTGCTCTGTCCTATCACCTGTTTTGGTGATAGGACATTCACCACCACCTGTTGTGGTGAATGGAGTTCAATCCAGTTGGTGGCCGGTCACAAGCGGTGTTCCCCAGGGCTCAGTTTTGGGGCTGGTCTTGTTCAATATCTTTACCAATGATCTGGATGAGGGGATCGAGTGCTCCCTCAGGAAGTTTGCAGACGACACCAAGTTGGGTGGCAGTGTTGATCTGCTCGAGGGTAGGAAGGCTCTGCAGAGGGACCTGGACAGGCTGGAGCGATGGGCCGAGGCCAACTGTATGAGATTCAACAAGGCCAAGTGCCGGGTCCTGCGCTTCGGCCACAACAACCCCATGCAGCGCTACAGGCTTGGGGAAGAGTGGCCAGAAAGCTGCCTGGCGGAAAAGGACCTGGGGGTGCTGGTTGACAGCCGGCTGAACATGAGCCGGCAGTGTACCCAGGGGGCCAAGAAGGCCAATGGCATCCTGGCCTGTATCAGAAATAGTGTGGCCAGCAGGAGCAGGGAAGTGATAGTGCCCCTGTACTCGGCACTGGTGAGGCCGCACCTCAAATACTGTGTTCGGTTTTGGGCCCCTCACTACAAGAAGGACGTTGAGATGTTGGAGCGTGTCCAGAGAAGGGCAATGAGGCTGGTGAAGGGTCTGGAGAACAAGTCTTATGAGGAGTGGCTGAGGGAACTGGGGTTGTTTAGCCTGGAGAAAAGGAGGCTGAGGGGAGACCTCATTGCTCTCTACAACTACCTGAAAGGAGGCTGTAGCGAGGCGGGTGTTGGTCTCTTCTCCCAAGTAACTGGCGAAAGGACGAGAGGAAATGGCCTCAAGTTGCGCCAGGGGAGGTTTAGATTGGACGTGAGGAAAAATTTCTTTACTGAAAGAGTGGTTAAACATTGGAACAGGCTGCCCAGGGAAGTGGTTGAGTCACCTTCCCTGGAGGTATTTAAAAGATGGGTAGATGAGGCGCTTAGCGACATGGTTTAATGGGCATGGTGGTGTTGGGTTGACGGTTGGACTCAATGATCTTAGAGGTCTTTTCCAACCTTAATGATTCTATGATTCTATGATCACTGAACAAAAGCTGGACAAAATACACAGCTCTGGCTCATATCAGAAAGAACCTCCTAGCATCCATAATTCATATATCTGGGAAAAAATAATCTATACTAACATTAGCATAGCAGTTTCCAGGCTCACAAAGCGCTAAATCCCCTCTCTGTAGACAGTTAGATCTTTGATGCACTTTTACTTACAAAAAGCTTTGGTTACATAACATACTCCCCTCAACCTTAACCTGAAATAAACCTCAAGGGTTTTGTAATTAATGCCATGTTGTTGAGTATTGATTTATCAGTGCTGTAGAATTTGTTATTCTGGCCCTTGAGAAGGAAAAAAGCACCTGCTTAGTTTCTGGTAATAATCTTCTGTGCAACTTTTTAACATTTAGAAGAAAAAAAGTCTTTTGAAGTTTCTAAAGGAAGCCAATTTCTCTGGCAATTTTTTTTTAGTTTACTCTTTGTGTAGAAGTGGTCTTTTGGTCTTTAGAGCTCCTATTGTGCTAGGTACCTTCTCTGATGTGTTTATAACCTTGACCTAGGATTTCTAAAAGGCTAGATCGCAATGCCGTAAAGAGAGGTCCAAATGTCAGAAAAGCTTTAGAAACTAGATTACTTCACAGCATATAATTTGTCACCCCAAATCACTACTGACTCTTGAAAACTCTGGCTTTGATTAATACTTGTTCTATGAAAGTACCTTCTTTACTTTCTGACCTATCCATGTCATGTCATTGGTACTGGCTGAATACACACTGGTGACATTTCCATCTTCTTCTGTCAGCTCTACATTGGAAGATTTAAGTGGTACCTCCTGAAATTAAGGATATAAACATCCATCTCAGGTACTTAGAGAGAATGAGAGACAGAAATGAAATAAAAAATGGACTCACATTAGAAGCAACACCACCACCACTAAATTCCAGAGAGTGTTACACCATTTTTATTCCCTAACCAGTCCCCAGAGTTGATCCTGCAAACCCTTGCTATTATGCAAAGCATTTTGACTCAAATGGGCTGACTGTACTTATATTTGTAATCACTGCTTTGCTTGATTTCAACAGAAAAATACATGACTAGTAACACACAATGTATAGCAGTAACATCACACTGGGAATGACACATAACTTTACATGAGGAGAAACCGACTTTCACAGTTTTCTGTGGCTGAAGAAACCAAGTGAAATTGAAGATGTGAATCTCATCTTCCCATAACTATTCCATTTCCTTGATAATACTATTCCACAAATTAATAATTAAACATATTCAGCCTACCCTCAGAGGTATTCTTCTACTTTTACAAAAGGATCAGAGTTTGTTTTCAGGACAGTTTTTATCATGTGTAATTTTAGGGTAATGATCAAACTTTTTTCCCCCATAAAAATAAAGAAAACACCTTAAATTTCTCTTCTGGAAGTGATTCCGATGTGGATTCTGGGTCAAACTGCCATTCTGCCATAGATTTTAAAACAACATTTTCATTCGAAGTAGACTTGTTCAGTATAGCAAGAAGAGATCGCCAGTGAAAAGCAGCTTCCTTAACTTCAATTTTCTTTATCTTCCTAGTAAACAGAAAGGGAACAGATTTATTTTTTGTGTATTATGGAAAAGGATGAACTATTAAATATTCTTTATAACACAATTATTAAGTTATTTAAAACTGCCTATTCAATATTTTTACATATAATTCAATATTGTTTGAGTTCTAGAATTGCATAATTAAGTGAAGTTTCCAGAGAATTAGAAATTCTGAAAGATGGATTACCCAGATTAGAAATATTGCTCTGGCGGAGTCATCTTTAATCTATGCATCTACCTGAACATTTGTTATACCACAGAAAAGCCGTAGTTTCAGTGTCTCTTATTCCTATGTCTCCTAAGAGCTCTCTATAGCCACAGTTGAATTCCCATTAAAGCTGTGATGTCTCCTAATCACTGAGTTAAAACAGTATCTCATCAGATTACATCCCTTACATCCCCAGAGAGCCCCTTCCAGATGGTTTATTTGAGAGTGATAAGAAGGTCACCATGGGCAATACTTATCAGAAGATACTCCTGTATCTTGTATTGCAACCATACCCGAAGTACGAGACTTTTCATGGGCTAGGGAGACCACCTCTAAAGATGAGAGGAGTGATTTTATTTCTACCCAATTCTTCTCCTTACTTTGAGAATAATAAAAAGGAAGTCTAGAATCACAAGTAGATGCAAAAATTAGTCTGTCAGGATATAAGAATTTACATCATCAATATTGGTCTGCCACTTTATACATACTTCCATTTCAGACACACCAGGGCACCATCATTTTCACCATTAACGAGGATGAATTTGCCATCCAGCGAAAATACCACGGATCTGATTCCCCCTCCTTGATATGAGTGACAATGCTTTTCTGCAAGTATATCCTAGAAAGTCACAGAAGCAGTATCAGCAAATACGTTTTTCTAATGGAATATGTCTGTAAATTATGCTTTGTTATTTTTAGATAAAAGTCAATCCAAAATGTCAATACAAAGTACATAAAAGACTAGGATTTATGAGTTTAAAATTTTTGACTACAGATGGGGCAAGTTTGTAGTATATTGATTTTGCAGGAGATAAAGAAGAGTAGTAAAATTATCTACCCTAAGATTTACTGGAGAAGAAAGTAAGTAGTTCGTATGATCGTGTTCACATTCACTATAACAATTGTACTGTATAATGGTATGTCAGTTTATGTTCAACATCAATTTTTCTGGAACACCTTATATTCAAGTGAAGAAAAGCTTACAGTGAAAGAAAGTAGCTTTCACACCTCTTTCTCATGTAAACCAAACAAAGCCTTTGCCTGGATGCCTACCTACCATAGTAAAAGTATGATAGATGAACAAAACACCATCCTTTGCTGCTGACGCCAGCCATCGGCTGTTGGGTGATAAACAGAGGAAACCTGATCCAAACTGATTGCTAGGAGTCCTCTTTTCTGACAAAAATACTGATGGATCTTCCAACATGTTCTGCCAAACAAACAAAACATTAGCAGCAGTTGAGATGATGGAAATATCTATCCTATTTTGAGAAGACTAATGAGAGCTTTGTGGGTTATCACATGCGTTGCAATTTAAAATGCTGTTGGATTACTGAGCTCAGGAAGCAGTACCATTGCTATGTTGCTGATTTGCTTCTCATCTCTTCAAAAGGGTTTGTATTCAGTATGTTTGGGCCTGGAGTTTCTTGGCTCAGAAAGTATAGGACTTGTCAAGGAGGAATGCTCACCTTTGGAATTCAACTTTTTGCTCGACCTGACTCTTAAACTGAGGGAGACCTATGAGCTGCAGAGAGCTCCAGTTCATCAGCAGCCAATGAGAGTGGATTCCTGAGGCCCCCAGTACTTCATTGCGAGGCAGGGCTGTGCTGGACTGGGTTTGCAGTTGCGTCTTAGAGTCACTCACATTGGCTCAGTTCCTTCAATAGCTGGATATTCAGGTTACTCAGCAGACTGCACAAGAGCACAGTTCCAATACAGAAGCTACATGTGAAGTGCCTGCAAGCTGTATGAGTTTTAAGAACCAGTATTTGGCTTTCTCTGTAATAGAACAAGGAGGTTGCTTTTGCCAGGTTTCTGAGCAGGTGGTAGGATACTGAAAGTTGATGTTTATGGATGGAGTAGGTATTTTTAGTGCAGAAAGGATTTCTTTAAGATAATATCCTGCTATATTCACTTCATCTACAGCCTTTGTTTGCTGGTATTTAACCACCACCCAAAATAAAGCAGCTTCAGAGAATTACCTCTTCAGAGAGATGGTATTTACAGATGAAAGGTGCACAGGTACAGTAGCCATACACAATGTTATCCTTCAATCTGACTGCTGAGCTCAAAGGGTAATCCAGATCATATTGCTCCTTTTTAATGGCACTAGCGTTAAGCATTCCTTGTTCATTAACATACTTATCATTATCTAAAAGATTGAAAAAAGAAACAGGGAGGAAGAGGCATCACTACCACTAATGCAGGTGCTTCACCTATTGTCGTGGTTTAACCTCAGCCGGCAACTAAGCACCACGCAGCCGCTCGCTCACTCCCCCCCAGTGGGATGGGGGAGAGAATCGGAAGGGTAAAAGTGAGAAAACTCGTGGGTTGAGATAAAGACAGTTTAATAGGTAGAGCAAAAGCCGCGCACGCAAGCAAAGCAAAACAAGGAACTCATTCACTCCTTCCCATGGGCAGGCAGGTGTTCAGCCATCTCCAGGAAAGCAGGGCTCCATCACGCGTAACGGTTACTTGGGAAGACAAACGCCACCACTCCAAACATCCCCCCCTTCCTTCTTCTTCCCCCAGCTTTATATACTGAGCATGACGTCACATGGTATGGAATGTCCCTTTGGCCAGTTTGGGTCAGCTGTCCTGGCTGTGCCCCCTCCCAGCTTCTTGTGCACCTCCAGTCTTCTCAGTCGGCAGAGCATGGGAAGCTGAAAAGTCCTTGACTAGTGTAAACACTACCTAGCAACAACTAAAATATTGGTGTGTTACCAACATTGTTCTCACCCTAAATCCAAAACACAGCACTGTACCAGCTACTAGGAAGGAAATTAACTCTATCCCTGCCAAAACCAGGACACCTATCAAGTAATTATGAAAACCAATCTCGGCAAGGAGTGAACATGATGTGAGTTTTCAAGGAGGAGACTGGGAATTAAGATATCTAGCTTTAACACTAACTCTGTGGGTTGTGCACTGCAGTGAAGCAGAGAGATAGCTCTACTAGCTGTAAAGAAGTACTAGAAACAGTTTAACCACAGTGATGTGACAATTTGTATACACTAATTTACCCTGTTTCTTGGGTGTTATGTAAGCAGTGCTAATTAGTTTGCATGGAGGTTCATGTCATCACTGCTTTCATCTAGAACTTGTTTAGGCATCTCTGCCATGAAGTACACGCAGCCTGGGTGGTATTGGTTAAAACACTTAAGTTCACATCTTCAGAAGGGCATTTTTTCTTTTTGGTTGCTTAATTTGAGCTTTAAAGAGACATCTGAAATTAAGACTGATGCAATAACTGTAGATCTTCAGCAACTTTGAAAATAAAGCCCCATTTTAGATGTCTAAAATTGGGCACAAAAAGAAGCCCAACATCAGTGAATATTTGAAGAAAATATTAACTTCATTGAAAATTACTGTTTTAAAAGTTTGTAAATTTTAAGGCCTTTTAAAAATTATATGTAAATAACTAGAAAATCTGACACTGGGCTTACTAACAGTTTTATGGAAGTTTTCTCCACAAAAGGCTTTGTTAGTCATTCATTTGCGTATAATGTGAGTAAAATGATATAAAAATAGAATGATGTTAATACTGAATACAGGCTGCCTTTTGCTGTAATGTGATAGACAGAAGACATCACTGAAACCTCAAACTATATTGATTGGGCAATTCTTAGATGGAAGAGACATAAAACTGGAAGTGCACAGTGCCATTGCCAACCAAGCCTGTCCTGCGTTGGCTGCATGATAGAATAGAATAGAGTAGAGTAGAGCAGAGCAGAGTAGAGTAGAGTAGAATAGATGAGGACACCGAGCGCAACATTAGCCTGCACTGTGCCTTAGTTAAGTTAATGCATTTAAGCCCTTTTAGGACAACTGAATTAGTTTCCCAGCTGATTCCAGAAAGTGCCCCAAATCAATGCATTCCTAGAATATCAGTTTTAGATATTCCTGGAATATCAGACACAATTAAAAGTTCTGTGATCACTCATGACACTGAGGTCCATTTTTTCTTGCTTATAGTACTCCTAAAATGCTATAATATTACAGCTGTGTCCTGAATGACACAAACAAATTACTGAGTTGTTTCACAGTTGAGGATGGCATATATAAAAGAAATCATGACCAGTATTTGAGAATTTAGCGAGGGTTACCCAATTTAGTGAAAGACTAACAAGTTCCCTTCATTTTACTTCCAGATTATGAATAGAGATTCTAACTGTGATGTCCCAATATGCACATTGCACACTGCAGATACGTGGGACCAGATTTCCAGAAGGTGAATGGAGATATGCCATTCTTAAGTCTCCTTAATTCTCCCCTTTTCCTCATAGGGCCAATTTTTTCATAGAATGTTTCTCTGTAACATTCCTTATTGGGATACAAGTTAATATTTTTTAAACATAGTGGACTTTTTCCTTGGTGCTTTTACATAGAAAAGCTATAACAAAGACAGGGAATCATTATTCTTTGAGATATATCAACCTTTAACCTTTTCCTAGTGAGCTATTATATACCTATAATAATTCTCTGAAGAGGCTGGTGGGATTGATTCCACTTTGAACACCTGATATGCTACTCTGCCTATGGATGATGCCAAGCACAAGGCCTCTTTGTGGCTGGCTTTGGGCATTGCCCACACAGTAGTAATAATAACAACAACAAGTAGTAGTAGTAGTAGTAAAGTGGTGGCTTTGTGATTCTGCAAGTGGATTACTTCTTCCTTCCTTGGCATTCCCAGAAAATATCACAGTCTTTCTGCTGGAATAATTCAGCTGACTAGAAGTCTACAGACTGATGTATGAGAAATGGTGTCCTAGGCGAGTGTACAGATGAGATGAAGAAAGAGATTAAGATTGTTAGTATTTTGTGTTAAGGGATGGCATTAATATGTTCTTGTCTTAGAAAAATATTACATAGTATATATTTCAACTCTTACCCGTTGTGAGTGCTGAAGATAGACAAAAAATTTCCAGTCTTGCTCGCTGGACCTCTGCTACATTAAGAAGTACAACCACTTCAACTAAGTCATTCTTGAAATCAGAAACTACAGAAAGATCCAGCACCTCATCTGCCAACACTGAAGCAAGTAGGGAACACCAATGCAAATTGTTACTGAATCATGGTAACATTGTTTTTTACTAAGACATCATGCGAAACAAAATGAGATCCCTGTTCAGAATACATCTCGGCTCAACCACACAGTTTTTAACTTGCTTTAAAATAGTAGACAAGCCACAACCTTGTTTCAGAAAGTGCTGCATGCACACAACTTCACCTTGAGGCATCGGGTGCTGAGAATGCTAAGCGCCGGAGTGTTATTATTACATAAAACATTCAAATCTGAGTTTACATCCAGCTTCAATTGTAGCAATTTTGAGGCTGTCTGCTGATAACTGCCAGATAAAGCACAGAAAAGCTCTCCTCTAAGAAGCCAGCCAGACAGTGAGAACATGAACAGTCAAATTCTGAAAATTATCTAAGAAGATATAATTCTGTGTTTGTCAAACCAATTAAAATGATAAAATAATGTCCTTTATACTTAAAATTATGATGAAGATCTATATGCACAGATGTAAGTATAATGTTATTGGAATTGAGAGGCTGCATAAACAAATTTACAAATTTCAGAAGAATTTTTTTGTGAGTTAAAATTCCATCATTTTTTATTCTTCAGTATCAACCAGCAAAGCTGATAATTCCAGCAGTCCCCATATTAAAGACGTCTGGGGCGGACATTTGTAACAGGAGATTGCACCCAGCTGTCATGACCTACAGTTTTTTAGTCTAAGTTCTCATATGGCAAGCCACAAAGGTCTTAATTCTTTGCCAGCACTATTACTTTTGTGCCGGAGTTGTGATCAGTTGGTCAGCTAATCCATTCTCTTCCCTGTGACTTTTAGCTTTTAGCTGACTTTTAGGAAAAAAAGTAATATTGGTGCATTTGCTAACTAAAATTACAGAAGAAAAAAAAAAGATTGGCCAGGACAAAATATGGTTGGGAAATAGGTGGGAAGAATATGTTTAGTCCTCCTAAAAAGTAAGTAGAATGAAGGAGAGTGGCTTAGTCTCACCAGCAAGTATACTTAAAATACAGCAAATAGTGAAAACACAATGTAATTAATGTTGTTACATGTATTACCTACATATCCAAGAACTTGGAATAATTTTGAAGGCCGGGCATCTAGAACAAAGATATGTCCTTCTGTAGCTCTAGCGATGAGGAACTGGCCACTCTGATCATAACTGGATAAAAGATAAATCCAAGTAGAAAACAGTTCAATACAGTCAATAAAAAGGGTCAAATAATTCCACTTCCATAAGTCTGCTGACTTCATTGAGGGCATAAACGCAACTGAAATTTCAGCTTCTAGGTTTAAAGGGTTAGGGCCTGATATAAAGCCCAGTGCTATAAGTGCAATTTCTAATTGAGTGGGTGATCAATCTAAAGCTAATGATACTCTATAGCAGTCTATGTTAACAACTTTATTAAATCTTTCTTTGAAGTTAACTTTTTTAAAAATAAAACTACTGTACAGATTTTGATATTATTTTGAATAGACAAGTCTTTGTTTGCATTGAATTGACTTTGAATAAGTTGCTTTCTGTATCTAGTTTTAATGTTTTATCTTAGGTAACCGTGAAAAGAGATCACATCTGAGTCTCCAAATAACAGGCAGATTTATAGTAAAGTTTAACAGTTCAAAATACATTCTATTTTTTAAAAAGTAGAAGTAAAATACTCTCAGATTTTTCAATAATTGAAAAAAAACCCATCCAAATAAAAGCCTTTTTGATCACCAGAGCTAATTACAGGAGGACTGGTAAATTCTGGAACTGTAAGCAAATGAATAATTAACAATGGTAATAAAAATCCATCCCATAAGAAGGGATGACCAAAAGGCTTAAACTTAACTTCACAAAATGTCAAATTTGTATTTGGTGAGAAATAACCCTCTAAATTCAGATACATGGAATTGTGCATAATTACTGCATATGGTGATCTGTCAGAAAGGATCTTATACATCAGTACCTTCAGTGCTCAGTTAAACCTTCTTAAAATACAGGTTTATTATATTTCTCTCATATAAATCCTGCTACTAGTCCTCTTGCAAGCAATTCAATATATGTTGGAAAAAATTGAAGCTGATAAAGTATTTTACTTTGTTATTTTTAGAATAAAAACTTCAATTTTTGTGTTCAACTAACAGCATTACTCAAGCAAGAAATTGACAATATTCCTGCCCTTGTTACTACATACTTACTGCAAAGACAGCACTGGAAATTTGGAAGGAAAAATTCTGTGAACAACCCGTGGAGCTTCAACTTTGGTAACATCAAGGAAATAGATTTGACCTCTTTTGGTCCCTACAGCAACACTGTTGGAGGAGGGACAGCAAGCCATAGCCGTTGCCTAGTTAAGAAGTAAAAGATACTTAACAGTTTCATATCTTTTTATATATTATGCTATATGTTAATATGCAATTTCTTTTACTATTTAAAAGTCCCTAAAATTTGGAGAAGAAACCCCAAGTGGATTATTTAAAAAGCTTTTTTTTTTAACTAAGAAAGGATTTTAGAGACATCATAGGCATTTTTACCTATGCTCCATATCTACATATCAAAAGCTATTCTGTGCTCCTCAGAAAGAAAACATTATATCCACTACTCAGATTTTAAGTGAAAGAAGTTCCATCTAAATAAAACAGTGAATGCACTGTTATGTGTACAGCTGTTATAGAAAGGGATTTTTTTTCTTACTATGTCAGATTTCAGAGTTTGAATGCATCTTAAATCAGGACAAAGCATTAACAGCTTGAAATACTTCTATCAACTCAATTCCTAAAACCTGTTTTTCAGATCAGTCAAGGCATTTAGTTTTTATACACTTGAAACTTTTCCTTTCAGTTCTGACACTCATTAAAAATAAAAAATTAATAAAGTAATATCATTAAAATTTAGATTGTTATTTACAAGTACAGGCTTAAAGACACATCACTAGAACATTAGGTTGAAATGTTTCCTCTGCTTTATGGCTGACTTAAATACGTGATTAGTTCAAGGAAACATTCTGAAAGATAATCTTTTTTAAATCTCTTTCATGGCTTGTTCAAAGACACTACTGAGCTTTCCTCAGCACTGGTTGATCCAAATCTGTGGAATATTATGCTATAAATTGAAAAATATTAAAGAAAATTTTAAGTATCAGTCACTATATAAGCTCCTGGTTACGTGTACCTCAATATCAAGGTTTAGCTTGCTGAGGCAAGTTCCATCTTCCAGGAACCAAACTTGTACTTCACCTGAAATTGTTACAGACTGTTGAACAGAGAAAAACATAGTCAAAACAGGGTGGAATAACCAAATAGCCTGGAAGTGACTAGTCATCTTCTATAGAATATAAATTCAACTAATGTCTGAGCATAGCAGATCAAGGGTTACTGGTTTTGCTTGGAATTATCTTGCTTTTCCTTTAAGTCCAGTTGCTGCAAGGTACAGCTACCTAGGGAAAACATTTAATATTTTTTGTGAATTGCTGCAACTACAGGAATGGTCTTTAAGCAGAATGAGACAATCTAAGGCAAAACATGTAAGCTTGATCAGTATTAGCACTCCCACCATTCAGCCAGCAATAGAAAAACCTGCTTATAATTTTCTTTGCATAGGAAAGGGCTTAAGCAGAGGTCTTGTTTTCTCACATGAAAAATTATGCATATCATAATCGCGCTTTAGTTCTTACATCCAGGCAATTTTATAATTCCACAGTAATGTATGGCTAGAGATCAATCAACCCTCACATTACTCATTCAGAGTCAGGTAAAATTTATGCTAATGACAAACAAACAGATTCAGCAAACCTAATTGATTAAGACCCCAGGGTTCCTAGGCTGGCTACTTGAAGAATTCATGGCCTGCAGATGAATCAGACTTGCTGGCTAAAATGTATGTCTTGCAGGAGTCAAAGACAGGAGGAAAGCAAGGAATTTCTCAGAATGGACAGATCCATGAGTAAGGCCTTCTTTGTGCCTGGACCCAGGACAGAGGCGTCTCTCAGGCTGTTCCAATCTGTGCTGAAGGCTGAAAAGATCAGTAGAAATGTCTTGTTCCAACATCTATTGTCTGAATTGAATCCACCTTTTGCTCAGCTATGTTCCTGAACTATAGTGAGTCACACAAATCAACAGCAGAACCAATAAGGCATTTTAGCAACCTGTGAATTATCCACCCTGCATTCTAGGGCGAGTCCTGACCCTTTTATAGGCCATACCTGAATTAATGCCACTTACTTCCTTAATGAGAAGTTATACAACTGTAACAAATACCAGAACAGTCCCAACCTCTGCAAGGCTTTTGATTTTGTACCTTAGCAACATATTGGTTACCTGAAAAGAGCCACTATTATATATGTAAGAAAGAATATAATTTTTTACCACACAGTACTTGTTCCCTGGAGTAAGAAAATCAGCTGCCAGAAAACAACTGCTGCATGCGTCCAAGAGTTTGACAGCTTCTCCACTGTGGGCAGGTTTGTAAGTATAGACTGTCCCCTGACAAATAAAGCAAAATAATCCATCACTGGGCTATGAAACTTTTCATTAAAAGCTTTCAAAGACTTCAACAAAAAATACCCATCTTTCTGAGCTTCACTCTTTGAAGTTTTATATTTGACTCTAAACTGAGGTAAAAAGTGCCCAGAAGAATTCAGCTGAATTTAGTGGATTATATTAATTTACACTAGCTGAAGATCAGGTTAGTTCATTTTAGAGTGATCCAGCTAGTCACATTTTCATGAAGTTTTGTTTCTCAAAACTGCTTTAATAAAATAATTTTAAAACACCCTATTTCATGTTATGCCAGGAATCAATAAATATGCTAAAACAACATAAAACACAAATCATAAATCTTAAGCTTTAAGAGATGTTTTTACCTAAAGATCTCAAAGCCTCTTAGAAACAATTAATAACTAATATTGACAAAGTTTTTAGAACTTCTCTACTCATTTTACAAAAGGAGAATGAAATCAGAGAGAGAGTGTGATCAGAGTTACCATTGCACTGCTGTCCTGAACCCAGAACCTCCTCTCCTTCTCTCTCTCCCCCCCCCCCCCCCCCCCAAATGATTTAAAGTCTGGAAAACATGTGGAATTTGAGGATTTGGGACCCTTGTGTAAGATTTCTGGACATCAGGCTGGTGAAAGAAGGATCTTGAACTGGGTTGCCAGACAAATTCAGGCACATGTACAGAACAACTCTACTGCATAGCCACAGTAGGTCTGATGTACCCAAGCTACACTTTTCTTACTGTGCGGGCACACATCAAGCCTAGAGCTCATGCACAGTACGTCCCACGTGACCTGGACACACTGGAGACCCTGAACATGTACTCCACTGTACACACACAAGTATTTCTGTTGGGAAATCTCAGCATTAGGTACTTTATAATCCACCATCTGTAGGAGACAATTGTTCTGTGCTTCATTAAAAGTCTTTCCAATCTTTCATTAAAAACATGGTGGACTAAGTTCACCTCTGATATAATTTGTTGACTTGTGTGATTACATTACAGACATTCCATACTAGCAGCATCAGCATACACATATAGAACCACAGGAACATCCCGTTACATAATGCTATTATCTCAAATGCTATACCTGTTCAGTGACAAGCAGAAGTATGGTGTAATCAGGACAGAATATGAGGCTGGATATGGGTTTTAAGATATCAGCACAGATTTTCATCTCATACTGCAGATCTTTGATGTGATAAAAGAATAAAATGCCCTCCTGCACAGAAAAGTACAAATCCATATCAGGTCTAGGTCATTTATCCTAGCCCACTCTGACAAATTGAACTTCAAGGACTTCTGAAAATCTCTAAAGTAACAGTGTTTAACTGTATCCCATCACCAATGGTCTCATTTGCCTTTATTATGTTTAAATCCAGATAACTCTTACCCTGAATAATAAATCCATTGAAAAATGAAGGTGTTCTTTAATACAGGTCTTAGTAACAGTCCATGTCTAACAACAAAACAGTTTATAGTTCTGCAGCCCTCCACTTTTTTCTAACTCCTCTCTTTGCAGTGAACTCTGCAAATATACTCCATTTGAATGTTCTTTGATTTTCACACAATAAGAGTAAGTTAAAAGCATAAAGGATGCCTTACACTTCCAGCTGCGTACATTCCCTCGTTACAAAATGCCATGGTAAATAAAACTGGTTTTTGTAGATCCTTTGGTTTGCCACCTGAGAGCACAAAACCAACATAAAATATCAAATTTAGTTTATTGCAACAATGTGCTCAACTTCAAATCTGGGATGATTTACTATTTGTGAGTAAAAAGGCTCCATGGGCTACATATTTTTTGGACTTTTTTCTGTGATAATGAAGGAGAAGTTTGGTATACATAATTTGAAGTGACAGTACTACTGTGGTCTGATGAACTAGAAATTAATTTGAGAAATAATTTGATTTTGTAAAGGCTGCTAAATAGCCACATTAAAGTTTGTCAATAACAGAATCATAGAGTCATTTAGGTTGGAAGCGACCCTAGAAGTCCTCTGATCCAACCTCCTGCTCAGCACAGAGCCAACTCCAAACTCCTAACCAACTTCAAAGTTAGATCATGTTGTCCAGAGTCATATCCACTGAGGTCTGAATATACCCAAGAATGGAAATTCCATAGCTTCTCTGGGCAACTTGTCCCACTGTCTGACTACCTTCACTGTGAAAGTATTTTTTTTTCCTAATATCTACCCAGAATTTCCGTTGATGCAAACAGTGTCCTTTGCCTGTCTGGTTTCATCTTCTCTGTAACCTTTCATTAGGTAGCTGAAGCAATAGTAAAATCCCCCCTTTCCTTTTCTCCAGGCTGAACAAACATAGTTCTCTTAGTCCATCTATGTACTTAGACTTTGCAATAATCTTTGTGGCCCTGTGCTGAACTTCGTCCATTACATGAATATCTTTTTTGTACTGTGAAGCCCAAAACAAAGTGTTTGAAACAAACCCCTAAATCCTAACTCAACTAAATTACAAGTGATTGCAGTTCTAAAAAAACTTACTAAAACTAAGCAGTAGGAAACCTATTCTAGCATCACTTATTCCAATTTAAATTAGAATGAACAAAAATTATTTCACTGCTGCTGTTTCTCCTGAGGTTATTAATTTGGCTGTCTATTAGCACAAAAGCTATTAATAATTTATCATGTAAACATATAAAAGATTGCCATCAATGTGTCTTACAGAGGCCAGTGTGAGCTGAGTTTTTCGAACCAGTGGCTTCCAGCTGTACTCACATATTATTACTCCCAGACATCATTGGTGCTGCCTAAAAATCTATTATCTTGATTTGAACATGGAAATACCTTTCTTTTTCTGTACTTCTCTACGAACATATGACACCACGTCCGATATTTTACGCATGTATTCTGCACAAAAGAAAACAATTTGTAACGTCAACCTTGTTTATATGTCAATATTGCAATAAAAGTCAGTTGTATTCCAGTCTACTGAACAGAAGGCCAGGTTCAGCATACTGAATCAAAAATGTGCATTCTTCCCCAATATCCACCATTTCTGTCATCTATGCAACTAAGCAGGCACAATCTTTCTGTGATTCAGCTTACAGCTGTAAAAGGGAGATAGCAATACCTGGCATGGAGAGTGATACAGATGCAGATTTATCTATCTACTAGTGCTAAGTTCTGGTATGTTATTTCTAACCATGATTTTTTCATTTGATGTACTTATGAAGGAAACTTCAGTCAGTCTGAAAAAAATGCCCAAGTGAAATGTTGTGGCTGCTTATGATTCTGCTTGCAACACCGTAACAGGAATTTAGCATGTGCTTAAAGTTGGACATGCACTTAAGCATTCTGCTAAATAGATACAGATTGCAGTATGTTTTAAATGAAGCAGAAGCTTCAGTACAATATGAATACAGACAATTTTGTTACACAGTTTTAGGACAGGACTCAAAGAAGAATATACAGGCCAAGGAAAAGCCGAAATGGCAAATATTCTTGTTGCCTTCTACTGAACTGGCAAAAATATTTCTGGTCACACCTCAGCTTTTTATTTGTTGATGATTTCCAACTCTTGATTTGGTAAACTTAAAACTCTGATAATTTCAAAAGCAGAGAAATAATGCTAGTTTGTTGGGTTTTTTTAAGAGCAGCCTTCCGTTTCTGTGTTAACTATCAAAACTGAACAGAGATACAGTACTTTGGGAAAGTCAGGGATACTTGCTGCAGCTTGAAAAATGATGTATTACATGGCAAAAGAAGAAAACAAGATTATCACCAGCCTATTAACACTGATTCAGTGTTTATTAGAGAAACAGTTCTATGCTGGTCTATAACAGGATGTTACCCAATTCTAGTGCTAGGGAGAAGCATATTCCACTACTCCTCTTAGATCTGACTGAACTAGTGAATTTCATGTGCACAGTAGGACTGACACCTTCCATCCCTGCAAAGGATGATAGGGTACAGGTTACCATTGCCAGAACACTTTATGCCGGCTGTGTCTCACTGTCCTTCATCTTGGGAGCCCTCTGAATGGGCACAGAAGGGTAGCATGTGGCAGGTAGCAGAGGAGAGACCTCGGGATTCCCAGAAAAAAGAAGGCATGGAATGGGCTGCTGTTGCCAGAAAACTTTAGTCAGTCGCTAGCCTGCCAAAGGTCCCCATGAAAAAAAGATGGGTGGGAATATATATAGGGCAGACAAATCGCCTTGGCAAGTTGCAGTCAATCTGGGGGACATGTACCGAGTCTAGAATTCTATTCTACTCTAGAATAAAATAAAAGCAGATCTCTTTGTTCGAAGCCAAAGGCATCTTCTGTTTACTCTCTGTGCTTCATACTTTCTGCAGTAAAGCCTGATAGCCTTTACAGCCTTGTTTTCATTAGAAAATAGTTTATTTAAGAGCTGACCTTAGGAATTCTATTAAGCAACATTACATTAAATTCAGTTTTGTTGTTTGAAGACTCAGCATGAGTCTTCAAATATCTGTTTTAACATTATCTAACATACTAAATGAGGACAATCCAATATTTCATGCGAAATAAAATAAATTATTGGTACTTAACTAATAGTAAAAAGACTGTGTATAGCTGGTATATTAATAGTTTAATGTTAATCTAGTAGAGCTGGTTCATAAGATCTGGGCTTCTGGAACTATTGTTCATTTTATCAGTTTTGATGTATTTAGAGCTTTTTCTCTTTTTTTTTCCAAAGAAAAATGAAAGCCAATTATTGGGTGCTAAAGAAACCCACACAGAAGTTCAAAAGACATTCTCAAATGTTTATCATACTAATAAAAGAAATATGGTTCTACAATATAGCTTTACAATTTCTGTAAGGTACACAATAGGAGAACAGAAGAAAGCAAAAAAAGCTTTCATCTATCCACTTTCCTCCCTACTTGAATAAAACACACAACGCAGCTATTTCTTACCAGGTAGAGGTTTTTGTTGAAGAACAGAAACACTGCGTGTCTCAGCATCAATTGCCAAAATATATCCTTCTTTACAGCCCACGTAAATTTCTGAGGTTGCAGTCCAGCAGTGGGCAGTAGGATGCACTGAAGGCTTAATATAATTGCTAGGCTTCAGCACAAAAATAAACAAGTTCAATCAACAATTGCCAAATATCTGTACAAGCAGTTACATACATTTTAAGGCAAAAAAAAGATCATTACCTCATAGAGTCTGACCACTTGTATAATATCAGCCTTATTTTATTCAGTCATCCCTTCACTGAGGCTAGTAACTTGAGAAACGAGAACATTTTCCAGAAAAGACTATGTCTGGAGATAGCGGTGGAGAACTTACCTCTCTCCCTAGAAGCTTGTTTAAATGATGAATTATATTTTCATTGAAAAATTATGTATTTTGAAATTTGAATTTATCTGGATTTATTGTCCAGCACTTACATCTGTTACAATTTTGTCCTCTAGCCTGGAAATCCCTCCGGTATCTTCCCTACCCTCGCAAAGATATTGACCCACCATAACCAGGTCACCTCCCAATTTTTTAATGATAAAATTATGATAAAATTCAACACATTAAGCCCCTAGATTTTTTTTTAACGTCAGAATAGTACTGGAAGCCCAAATTGAAATGGTTACCCACTATGACCTCACCCTGACAAATGCTTTTCAAACTGCTTTTCAGAATAGTCTTCCACTTTGCAAACATAACCTGCACACATGGTCTTGCATACTTGGCAGTACTAAAACACATTTTGTTTGAATAGTTTATCTTATCATATAATCCAAATTGCTCTGTAAAACAGCTCTGTCAACCTTTGTGTCATCTGCAAATTAGTTCTAGAAATATCCCTGCCACGGACTTCCCATGTGCCTTGAATTTCATTTCACTAAAATAAATCTCATAAATCCATCATCCATAAAACAGGAAGAACAGAACTTCTCCGCCAAAAATTATTAAAGACAGTGACCTGTTCAGATACAACAGTAATAGGGGTAATATAAATACCATGATAGAAAGAACCAGATTGAAGAGAATTCGGGGAGGGGGAGAGGGGAACAAAACACAAGAAAACCTTGAGAGAACATTTAAAAGAGAAGATTTGAAGAACCATGCACGTGAGCAAAAGTGGTGAGGAACACTCGACAATATAATGGATGAAAAAAAAGAAGAGTCTACAATTCTATGAAACACCTACTGTCTCACTAAAGGTTCTACAAAAAGAGGAAATATGGATGGACTTGTCATGAAAACATAGGACAGAGATTCATAAGTACCTAGAATTCATTAGTAAAATATGCCAAGGACTTGCTATATGATTCTGGGTAAGTAACTTACTCTCTATTTATGCTTACAAAGCATTTTGAATTTCTCAGGGGAAAATGCTACAGAAATAAAGTATATTAATATTTACTTTATAAATCAAATAGGACTAACAGTAATAAATCTATAACAAATGGGCCTTTACATCACCCAGAAAAACATTTAATATAGGCATTTTCACTGATTTTATGAGGCTTGAGCATCACAAATCTTTGGGAAGGTTGTAACTGAACTACTGTGAATCAGAAGCTTCCTGTGTAAAGAAAACTTCTGTAACGTTCCTTTGTACCTGCTGTCATGACTGTCTTTACACATAAACTAGATAAAATATACTAATGAGATTATGTAAATCCCAAACCAGGTTGTTTCTTGAACTGTGCATTGGTACAGTGGTGCATTATAATAATGCCGTCTTTTTTTTAACTTCTCTCCCTTTTGAGTAGCACCTCTTCAGAGAAAAATATCCATGATGGATCCTTGTCATGAAAAGTTTTATAAAAAGACAATGGAATAAAATTGGTACTGGGGACGAGGCGGAGTCAAGTGGTCTTGTCATGGTAAAGCATATTCAGAAAACTCAGGTCCCAAATGTAAGAAATATTGAAACAAAACTAAATCAATCTAATGCAAGAAAGAAAAGGAATGGAAGCTGTAGGATATTTCAATTCCTTTCACTCTGCTGCCCCGTTGTGGTTACACTTTGGTACATACTCAGCCTCAGTATCTTGTTCTAGAGTATGGAACCCTAACACATTTCAAAGAAGCAAACAAGTGCACTGGCAATGGGTTCGCTTTTCTTACTTGCCTCTCACACATTCCTTAGGAGTGGGCTACAGCCTCCAAGGACCATGGACTACAGAGGTTGAGGATAACTCCTTTAAATAATAGTCTAAATAAATGGTTCTCCACTTTGGATGCTTACATCAACGTGAAAAACACTGATCTCAGCTGACTCAGATTTAGTGATAAAGAACAAAAATCCTTCTGTCGAATTCTGCGGAGATAGGGAGAGCTTCATCAGGCCATGATATTATTCCCACTGCATTTAACTGAACACACCTCGTTAACCACCACAGGAGGAGCAGGTTGTCTCTTACTCATTAAAAAAGCATTGATGATAGTAGAGAGGCAAATAACTCCAAGGTATTTACAAATGTCAAGGCACAGATTTTAGGCCAGAGTCAGATAACTGCTCCTGGACGTTTGTAAAGGTATACAAATCATCAGTGGTAGTAACCATTGATACATCTGCCGCAGCAGCCTGTCAATTTATAAAGACAGTGAAGAATGGTAGTTATAGCACCTCTATATTGGACAGCCTGGTCCTTTACAGCAACTGCAGTCTGAAGATATCTTGACATCTGAGGAACTCAGCAAGTTCAGTCATTTCAATCTCTCTCAAAGTTGCTGCATTAGACACTTTTCAACATAAGGATCTTGATAAAACAATATTTCAAAGAAGTATCTTCTCCATCAAGTATATTCTGATCAACTTGTGCAGAAATTGCTTTGCCATAACTATATGTTCCATGTTGGGTGCTGGAAGGGGGTGCTTAACCTGACAAGACATATGCATGCGATTCCGCCCCAGTGTGGGCAGTTACAAGATCTAGTAGTGGCTCAGTTTTTCTGCTAGGTTAGAGATGGAGCATATGTGCACAGGTATGCGTGGAGGGGAGAATTAGTGCTGTAAGGCACAATAAATGCAAGTCCTGCAAAAAATTACTCAGCTATCATAGTCTGGAGCAAGGTGAAAACATGCCAGGAATTGATTCAGCGCCTGCTAGTGCTAAACTGTGAGTGTAGCACCCCACAATTTAGTACACAGGAAACAACATACCACCACCACAACAAAAGGAACAACAATAGCTTGTATTTCTGCAAAAAACTTTCATTTCTAAATAACCTGATGTTCATTACCTTGTCAATATTCACAACCAAAATACACCTATCTAGGGAATTTGGACAGTAAATAACTATCAAAATATTTACCATGTAATTTGAAAGAAAAGGAAATCTTCGTCAGCGACTCGTAGAACAATCTACTCTTACTCCAGGAGTAGTTCTATGTATAAGGAGAACATAATCACTCTGAAGGTGCTAAAAAGAAATCTAGGTTTTTCTGAAGGCAGTTGCGAATGCAAAGACCCTACAGTGGTATCTAGTATGGTTGAAAGCATAAACTTTTCCGTGCGGAAAAGTTCACCACGTGGTTCTGCAAGTTCAAGCATAAGAACCTACAATTCCTGAATGGAACAGCATCCATTCAAGGACAGATAAATTCTATTAAGCCTCACAGACCTAATATGGCAGTTGTTTTTTTCCCCAATACCTCTCATAATTCACCTTACAGGCTAAAGAACGAAGAGGCAGAAAGTATAAGAGGCAGCAAGGTAGAAGAAAAAGGCAATGCCCCTGATGAGCATACATCATCTTCATTTTCCATGTTCTAAGTGATCTGAAATATAAGCAGCTCATATGTAATCAGCATCAGTACAGGATGTTTGTTTGTAGTTATTGATTGTCCTGGAAACCAAGGGCATCAGCAGTTACACAGTTCAAAAACTCTACGAATCTGAATGCATGAAGCCACGAAAAGAGGATGAGGTCAGGAAAGCATCACTCCCCATTTTTATTTTTTATTCTGCTTTATAAGAGAAGTTTATGGCAGAAACCTGTGGTACACTAATCTGGTAATACAGAACTCACATTTGTCCATTGAAAAGACATAGTATAATGCCAGTATCATCTTATGTGTGGTAGCTTTGGTGTCTCATATATATCATAAGCCACCAAATAGAAACTGATGGTCTTAATCTTAGAAGAGAATCCCAGATTTGCAAGTTAAATGTTTTCACACTGGCACATGCTTCTAGTTGGTAGTCAGGTGAAAGTAAATTTCAAAAAAAATGAGAACACTTTTGAAGCCTCTCAAAAAAGGCATCTCAAGGAAGGCTAACAAATAAATGATCAATACAAGTGAGACAAACAGGCAGGTCCAACACTGACAGTGGTATGGGAATGTATTTCAGAAGCAGGGATTGCTGTCTGGAATAAAGCCTTCAATGTTTCCACAGCTTGAGACATTTTCAGAGTCAAAAAGAAAACAAATCTCAAAGGGAAGTAAGGATACCTCAAAGTTACTATCAGTTTAGCATGGGAATAGGTTTTCAACGTTTGAGCAGGTCATATTAGCTTGGGCATGGTTAAATGCTGACATGCTTATACTGCCTTTGGGATACAGATTAGTACCTCCACTGCACAGACATATTACTATGCTAGGACCTGTGTCAGAAATCTCTACATTGTACTGCACTGTGCAATAGCAGCATGTCTTGTAAGTCTCCTGTCAAAATGGATTTCAAAAATGTTGTGGAGACAACAGATCTATTTACAGGGTTGTACCTGTTTAACAGACATAAAAATTATTCATTTATTACCACCTATTTGCATAAAATGCATAATGACTTGGAATAGTAAAAAGGAAAAAAGTCAGTAACTACCACGAATGTTTCTGCTTCATCTCCTACCAGTCCAGCAATGGCTGAAACTGGCAAATCAGGGCCATGGTACGGATCTTCACTACGAGAAACTGGGAAAAACAAATCCTTACGAGAACTCACGGACCCTTGTCCATCAGGGAGTTTCACAGGGCTGTGAAAAAGCAAGAGACACTGTCTGAGGAGGAGAAATACTATGAATAGTAAATGCTGATACAAAACTGAGAAGCATGTTTTCAAAACTTTGAAACACCAACTCAGTTAATGGGCTTTACTTCTGCAAGAGTAATGGAGGATTGTTGTAGACAATCATTCTACACGGCATATACCATTTCACTGAAAAGTAATAGTAATTCTACTACAAAAGAGGAATTTTCCTAACTGGCAGAAATGGACTGCCATATTCTAGCTCAGTGTCTCTTCTTGTTGCTTTGTATTAACAACTATTCTATGTTACTGTTTTTACAGGATTAATGAAGTCACACACACCTAACTTGCATATGCTGTGAGGATTCATGCTTAATGTTTATTTGGAGAGAGTTTAACGATGATGAAAAATTATTAGTATTTGCCTGTTGCACTCTGGTAATCTGTGTTATGAGTGGCTGTTACAATGCAGGAGTTGAGGATTCTATAGTTTACAAACTATGTTGAATTATGACTTGGAAAAAATTTATGTAAAATAAACAATTCTCAGTGGACATTTAACCGCTACTGAATGGAATGAAAAGTGAGAAAAAAGGAGTATATATGTATTTTCACATGTACTCTATAATGACAAAAGGCAAAAAACCCTTCAGTATTCTTTTCAGATCGCAAATTAAGGTCTTGTCTATACTTTCACTAGTATAACTGTGTCAGTGGCAATATGTTGGTTATATTCATAGTTAAGAAGATTAAACACACTTGGGAATTGTAGAGTAGCTGCCACTGAAACAGCATAGGTGTTATACTTCAAGGACTCCAACTTGAATGATACATACTACTTTTATACCAGCCTCAAAACACATTTTAGCATAAATAAATTCTAGGTTTGCTGTGCTCAGTGAATTGCATTGACAGAGCCACCCCCTCCAGACCTGTAAATTGGCCACACAAGCTGGAAATCACTCAGAAAACTGATACTGCTTTTGGTACAATTTATGATTACAACAACGTATTGTTTAACTATGCTTACTAGGAAGCAACTTGATCCAGATTTGGTGCTTTCATAGCTACAAAAGCAATGCTCGACATAGCCACTTGCAGGAAAGCAGTCCAGGCACTACCTTAATTCAGTCATGCAGCTTTTGATAGAAGCTGCCAAAGTAGCTGATTAGTATTAGCTTCATGATGTGCATAATCTGGACATGTGAGTGCTAAGAAATGAAATCATAAATTCAAGTCACTTGATTGACTAGATAGATTCACACTGGTTGTGATTTAGCATTTACTGATTGCAATTGCTAGCTGAACTAAATTGGATTAAATTATTTGCAAACAGATGTAGGTTGCTAGTCTTAGTTATTAAGATATACTTCTAGATTTTTCTCTTAACCTGAAGGGCGTTCCACTCACTTTCGCGTAAGGTGATGCTCGTCATTATTCCTTTCAATATGCCAGACAGTAACGGAGCTCTCATTAACAAAACACAGTTGTTGCCAATTCATAGGGTTAAAACTTAAAGAGGTTGCTGTTACCCCTGGCTGAGACGCACTGCACAGGAGGATATTTTCTTGCCAGTTCCTTCATTAAGGAGAGTAAAAGAAAATCAAATCCATTAAATAAGTCAAAAACATTCAAGCCAAAGATCTGGATGTGATTATGAGTGACATTCAAGATCAAGTTTGGAAAACAAATACTTTGTCACTGACAAAAAATTTCTGCTGTCAAACAAGTTAGGTCCTCTTGAGAATGAAAAGGAGGTGGTTAATTAGCCACACATACAATTATTACTGCTACAAAAAGATTGAATAATAGAATAATTTTGAAAACTGACATTTTAGAAACATCATCGTGCACTTCCTTTTGTGAAAAGACCAACAGAGTCAAGAGACATGGATTTTTTTTTCATCAGTTCCATCAGTGACTACTTGAATGGGCCCAAACAATTAACTCTTCAGCACCCCAGACCTCAACCTTGCTTTTCCAATCCGTAAAATAATTATTATAATGCTTACAGGCTTGCAGTTGGAAGGTATTATAATTAAGAAATAAAATGCAGTCAGCCCGTGATTATCTATGGATGTATGAATTAAGTAATACAGTAATTGTGTTGTGAATGCAGACATACAAGCTATGGCTGCATTAACTAACGAGCACAAAACAGGGCAGAATTTGTGTGGGGCTGTTATGTATAGCTGACACAAGCCTGGGAATCTGCTTTCCACTGACTTTTCTTTTGTTCAGTGTAACCTATTTTATGGTGTCACCATCTAATTTGCGTATTTCTCTGTTATCCAGATTAATTCTTGACTGCATTTGCATTTTTAGGTGCTGTTCAAGAACTGATTAACATCAGTTGAAGAAAATGGTTAAAACTCTTTCTTAATTTCTTGGACAATATATCTGACTGTTATTCTAAATAACATTTATAGCTTTAGTATTTGTCATTACTCCTGAGAGGAAAAAAAACCCTAAAATGCATACACTGCTGTAAATGGATTTAGTATAATCCTGTTGTTCTGGCCTGTAATAAATTCACTCACAGAAACAGATCAGGATGCAAGACAATGGTTAATATTGATAGCATATGCAAAAAATGAGAAGTATTCACACATACACAGTAACTCATTAAAATTACAGAAAGCTATAAACTGCAATTCTGACTTTAAAAGATATCAGTGTAGCTCTCTCTCTAAAGATCTGTCAGCATGTTCTCATCTCATACCTAACAGATAGTGCCAACACTCTTTTACAGTAGATAATTTATTAAGATCTGAAACTGTATGGTACATGTATCTGAAAAAGAATGTGGCACTAAGCCTCTCCTTCAAAAAGAAAAGAATGAAGATCTAGGGATAAAATATCTCAGATGAAAGGCAGCTTTTAGTTATCCATAAGCTTTCTATATTTTGAGACTGATATAACTTTCGAAGCATCTCTTATACCTCTGATTCCAAACTATCTGCTTAAAATACCGGAACTGTGCAATCATCATATTGTAATGGCACATTAAGAATGCTAAACATTGAGATTTCTTTCATCTGTATACACACAATTCTACAATGAATGCACAGTATAATCCAGTTGCAAAAATGAAGGTCCTGATCTCACAGTAAATTCACACATCTCTGCTCAAGTTATTATAAATTCTAAGTTTAATATTGTAAGGTAACTCTATTTTGTTACTAAATTATTTCTGACTGGAATCTAGGTTGGTTCTTTTATGACAATTAGCTGCTGATAGTCATATTCATGCTGATCCAAATAGGTTTCAAAGGTTTGGCCTTGGAAATTGCCACTACTTTAAAGCATTTAAACTTTTCTAGATCTTTCCATTTTTAAGAATAATCTAGAGAAGTCTTTCAAGATGGTGGATTTTTGTTTAAGTGCACACAATGAACACATTAGACCATGTGTGTTATTTCTGCTGTAAGCGACAAGCATGTAAGCTCTTCAGACCAGTGAAGCTGTCTTGTCGGTTTCTACTGTGATATACACACAGACATCCTTCCTGAACTACTGTGTACGATCAGAGTTCACAGCAAACATTATTCTTCTTCATAAGGGATAAAGAAGAGGCATCTGTAATAGTATCTACTATCATCATTACTGAAATTCTGAAGTTACAGGAGTTTCTGCCTCTTCGCTAATCATTGTACAAGAAAAGGTCATAATTAAATTGGGAGTATACAGAACATTCCTTACACGTCCTTGCTTGCCTTCCTCCTACTCCACCCTCCCCATTTGTTTGGAAGTAGTGCTCAGGCTCCACAGTCAATGGAAGCTTGCTGGCAAAGGAGGCAAGAGCAGGATTATATTTTTACAGAACAATTTTAAAAATTAAATATTCTAACTTTCTGTATCTGCACCGTATTATATAATATTTCTTTTCATGACAATGAGCAGAAAATTATGATCTAACCCAGTGACCCATGGTAGTGTAAACACTGAGCAAAACTATAAGACAGAACTAAGATCAAGCACAAGTAATTAAACTTGTGCTTAATGTCCCCCACTGAATGGTCCAGGGGGACAAAAAAAGTAGAAATCAGCCTCAGAACGCTTTTCCTCTTTTCAGCAGGCAACTTTCTTTCACAAACAGCATGGTACTCAACTTCCAAGGGTGAACAGATAATTAACTGATGCTGAAGACTTTAGAAGTACTCCAAAACACAAGATTTCAAAGAAGGTAGAAGATAGCTGTAGCAAAGTAACAGTCATTCTGACTAGTGGCTACTAATGCTAGAAAACAAACAGCAAATTTGGTACAGAAAGTTTGCAGCCTTTATGCTGAAACAGCACACACACAAAAATATGAATTAAATGTAAATGGTATTAGAGAATTTTTTTTTACACTTACCATACTGAAAGAACAAATTCTGGGATTGAAGAGTAACTGGCTAGATAAGGGCCTGTGAAACTAAACGCAAGTAAGGTGTAGTCCAGCTGAGCACTACCTGAAACGTAAAAATAAAGAACATGGTCTTTAATTGCCCCCGACTTTACTGTGTACTATCACAGATAGAGTACTCTTCTCCGTTCCTTTATAACCACTTTAACTCTTCAAAGACATTCTTCAGGCCCCTGATTCCTTTGCTTTACTCCAGATTATTGTTTTGATTTGATCATAAAAATCTTCCCTATGTATCACTGCTTGGAATTTTTTAAATTTTTTTCAATAATACCTTGAATTTGTAAAGTATTTTTCCCCAAGTACCCTGAAACCCTTTGCAGTCATAATTTCATTCCTATACATGCAATAAGCAAGTAGTTTGATCCTTATTTAAATGGCAAGGAGACTGAAACATGGATAGGGTAAGCAACTTAACTAAGGAGAGAAGTATTATGAGGCAGGCAAAAATATACATTAGATCCCAGACTCCAAAGTTTAAGTGCAAGAACCCTCATTCCTCTCATCTCAGATTTCTCACTGTGGCTTTCAGCAGTCTGCTCGGGAGCCTGCTGCAGCATGATTTTTTTGGTTATTCTGACTATATTTTCCTAAAATTAATTCCATTTCATTCCATTTGTTTTCCCTTTAAAACAGCTCCATTTTGCATTGTCATATTCCTCCCTTGCTTGAGCCTAACTAAAAGTAGTGCAGTGGAAAATTCCTTCCACTACTTTCCATGCATCCTGTCATGAGACAGTTTCCTGTCATGCTGTTTTTCAAGTCTTATCAAAAAAATCCTTTAGAAACTGGATGATTTAAGCATTGTTTCAATGAAATGGTGATGGGGAGGGTTATCACATCACTACCTTTTAATTCTGTCAGTTTATTCAGTTCTGGAAAAGTGTAGATATATATGATGGGATTCAGCTTCTGGTCTGAAAAGGCCAGCACTTGACTGTTCCCATTCGCTGCAAAGGCTCCCACCCGGCCAGTCTGACACTGCAGCATTGTCGTCTTCTTTGTTTCAATGTCCAGGAAGAGGATGTAATTGCCACAAGGGTAGCAGACAGTTTGATTGTTGATAAAGCCAAAGTTCTTCTTTGAGAATCCCTGAACCCAACTTAAGAAAGAGCAACTGAATGTTAAAACATTAATCAAAGACACATTTCTCAAAATACTGTGAAAAACGGAGTGTCGTAGCCTAAGTTACACTGAACTGATGCTTGGGATGTTAGACTCATCCTCATACCAATGTTGTAAAACCACAATAACTTCCACATCTAGTATTATGAATCACTAGTTCAGTGTTTCCAAAAACATAGGGTCAATCTTAACCCTGATTGACAGACCCATACCCAGACCTCACAGACAGACAAAGGACTGTCATACAAACATGGAGAGATGGTTATATTACTTTCAGTTTTCACTAAAAATAAAGTTAGCCAGTTCACAGGCTCTGTTTTTCTGCTCATATATCATAGTAATAGAGTATACCTTTACTCTGAAAGAATTACACAGGTACAATCTGTACTGGGGACCCAATTGTGTTTGCTTAACCTTTTTACACTTTCATAGCTCATCTCATCCCTGTAAAATAAAAAATACAAAGGCATGGCTTGGGTTTATATGAACATAACTAAGAGGACTGTTCTGCTTTAAAGATACCAGTACTTTAACATGGTAAAACTTTGGAATGTAAACAGGATGTGTTACGCAAGGACTGAAATAAATTACTGAAGAGGAGTCAGCTTATGAACTTACAACCCATCAACAAATTCATAACTGCCTGCAGATGTTTTTACCTTTCAGAAAGTGTGTGGATAAACATCAGGGTCCTCTTATCAAAGGGATTTGCATTTACCGCTAACTGAAGATGTCTGATTGAGCCACAGCTTAGTCTGCTAGTACCCTGTTAGAAAAGTTTCAGCAGCGTAACACATATCCTCTGTGTACAACACTGCTGTTAGCACCTTCTCTTCTAATTTCTATTCAGAAACTTTCCATCTCTTCTCTTCTTCCAAATAAGAGCATTTGACTGGAAGAGATCTTTGTCCTCTGCAATTGCAAGCAGCGTTTTTACGCTCCTTTCATGAACATAAGTCAGTCATAAGATCAGATCAGCTGCTGATCCTTTGTACTCTTACCAGAAGATTGTACTACAGCCTCAGCACTCTCACAGTGAGGAACATTTTTAAATGACTAGTCTTACTAGTCTTAAGGTATTTATGTCCAGCAATAACTTCTCGTTATCTTTTCTGAGTAGTTTCTGCTCTTGGCCTCTTTTGCTACACACCAGAGGAGTAAGTGTAGCCAGAGGGGAGTGGAAGCACACTGACCACGTGCTCGTGCAGATGAACTGAATACCATGGCAACAAAGAGGAGACATTTCAGCTGATGAATGTTTTTCCAGACCTTTTACACAAGAACTAGATGTATGACATGCCATGGCACATAAGCAGACCTTTATGAACATGCTCACAGGACCAGATCTATGCTTTTCTCCAACACTAGATCTGAATCAGTGGCAATGAAGTATTTTTAACTTCCGTTCGCAGAGGTAAAATGAAGTCTAGAAGATACGTATGCAGGGATAAATTAATGGGATGACAGCGCAATTTATCATCCTTATACAACTAGTAAAGGCATAAGGGGACAAGGATTCAGGCTGTTATCTGATGTCAGCTATGACTGGTGTGTTACACACTGAGTCAGGTAATTAGCCATGGCTCACACATGTGTTCTCTATGCTGTGTCTGTCTCCAGTTCTATATAAACATCGCATCAGAAGTATTTCAGTCATAAACTTTGCCAGCTGGTGAAATGTAGATGGGGCAAAGTAATTAGACTTGCTTGGAAATTTCCTTACAGAGCATTTTGCCACTGAAAAATACTAGTTCATACAAAACAGACTATATGAAAGCATGAGTTTTGTCGAAAATCTGTGCTTTCTGAAGACACAGAACACCATTCCAATTGCCCACTGCAAAAGAATTTTTGTCACTTTCTTCTAAAACTGATACACATACTACTACTGCTAACATTAATTTATAAGAAAGGCAAACTTTAGACTTTTCTATTTTATGGAAATGGGCTTTTCTTCACATTCAATAGGGCTTAAATTCTTTTTTTATTTTGCATAATATTTTAATTTCATAATGGTGTTTTCGCAAAGCAGAAAACCTGGATTACAGCTCTTCCAAGTAATACCAGTTTGCACAAGGGACCTCCTCTGAATAGCAATGACATGCTTCAGATGGTATCTTTTTTACTCTGCAAGTATCAGAACGGTTAAGGATGAAGCCTGTTTCTCCTATTACCAGAACAAATAATTTTCTTTCCACTAAAAAGTGCTGCACCTATAATTATGGATCTATGTCCTATAAGCATTGATGAAACAGCTGAAATACTTACAAGGGACAAGGAAGTTTAAACATCTGTCCCATTACATAGAAAAAATGTCTAAGATTGCTGTGAAAGTCTCAACCAAGGTGGGGCAGGAAGGGCTTAATTCACCTACAGCTCCTATGTGTTCAGAACCAAAAAGCAAGTTGTTGGATTGCTAAGACCTCTGGCTGAGAACCATTTTTCTATATATAGTGTGGGTTATAGGTTTGTGGGAAATGGAAATCTGAAAGTCTCTGACATGCAGGCTAAGATGCTGAGACAGAAAGGCAGGCGTGAGGGCTTAGAATACCAGGAAAACTAAGAACCATGGCAGTAGGTGATGACAGTGGGGTTTAGGAGGTACAGAACAGCCAGGGAAGTTCTAGAGGTTGAAGTAGTCTGGGTAAAACAGAAAAGAGATGTGGCCATGAACAGAACTGAACTGTATGAGTTCACAAGGTCAGGTACTGAGCAGAAAAGCACGCTCTGAGAGTTCATCAGGATTGTGTGCTGCCAGAACCACTACACTAGAAAAGACAACAACTCATGTCACACTTCTTATCAACTCATCAAGCTCCAGCTTAAAACTTACTCCCTGTTTCAGAGCTTCCCTGTTCTAAGGGCAGAGAACCTAAATTTAATCCAAATCCACCAAAGGCTCAGTCCCTGCCAGACACTGCAGCGCTTCCCTCTCCCCCTGCAACTACCTGCTGCCCTAACACAGACCCACAGCACAGCGGCCTCCCTTCCTTTCCCTGCCAGACCTGCCCTATTCTCCGATAGCTGCATAGAGCTGACCCGGGGCGAGAGAAGCTGGGCCCCGGGGACACAGGACACCCCTCCGGGGCCGAGGGGCTCGGGAGTGTGTGGTGTGTATGGAGGCCCGAAGGGCGCGGGCTGTCCCGGCCGGCCCCCACCTCACTTCCAGCGCAGCCTCCTCGGACGAGGGGCAGTCCTAGGAACAAGAACGGCTTCTGCTATTAGCTGACACAACACCTCCCGCCGGGCTTAAAACAGCGAGCTGATTGGCCTGCGCTCGTGCGCCAACCAACCAATGAGCACGGGTAGGTACTTAAAGGGCCAGCAGCCATAGAAGAAGGAGCTCGTGGGGTTTCTGTCCTGGGCAGGAGAAACCTAAGTACAAAGTGATGAGACGAGCTCTCTGTAGCACATCCGCCATTCTCGCAGGGGCACCGACCTGTGGCTGATGGGGTAATTCTGCCTGTCAGTCACTGGTACCTGCGGCCTGTAACCTGTGTAATCATTGCTGCCGTGTCTAGAAGCAGGTGGCTTTACCGGGCATAGAGGTGAATCAGCCTTAGGGAAGAGACCATGGGTTCCTTCCCTCGGCCACCCCACGGGCCCTTGCTGTGGCGGCACGCTCCCTGCTCCCGTTCCAGCGGCACTTGGCCTTTCACTTAGTGAGGCAGCCGTACCTGTTCTCCCATCGCTTGTCTTGTTTTTCCTTTCATGAGGTACCACAGTTCTTCTTGGGACGTGTAAGACAGCGCTCCTGAAGTTTCAAAGAGAGCTGTGGAGAAGTTGACCACTGGAAAGAAGAGAAAGTACAGCTACAATCTTTCTCCATGTACTTACGGCTTTTAGCATGGTAACGCAATAAGAACCTCCAAGTATTTTAAAAGCAGAATTAGCAATAACATCTCCTTTTCCCTTTCCTAAAGCAAGAAATGTTATTTATAGTGTCTCACTTGCTTGTGCTAGTTCATTATTACTTCTCTGTACAGTGGCAGTGTGCAGTTTTGCGATGCAGCTACGCACTCACAGTGCTACCGAGCAACGATGGAGAGTGGCACTCCTGCCCAGAGGCAGCAGGACAAACCTGTAGCTTACCTCTAGTCTCCACAAGTGCTCTGTATGCCATGCAAAACCAAGAAAGGATGAGGAAATGGGTTTATTTTTCCATAGTGCCTTTGAGGGGCTATTGTAGCATGTGGATTTTGTGATGCTGCTTTTGGTTCCTACGTGCCTGTCTCTGGGCTGTGAGTTAGCAGGCTGCCTGTGTTCTTCTTCATTGCTAAAAGAAACGTCAGATTAATTTTCTCTTTTTTCATGACCCAGAATGTTGCTGAATCTTTCTTAAGGGCAGGCGCTCAGAGGAATGAAAAATATGTCCTCTAACAGTTTTTTTTAATGATAGAAGAAATTATTTTATTGGCAAAGGACATCTTATGCAAAGCTTCTGTTTACCTAGGGCATGGCAGGCTTGTGCAACGAATTACCACTCCCTTTCACTGCTGAGCTGCTTATTAATTACATAATCAAACAGCAATGACTTAACAAAAAATCATATTGTTCCTCTATTCGAATGGATAATGGTGTCAGGTTCATGGTCACTTCACTAGTGGCCATCTCTGTTTGCCTTCAGGAGCGATCACCACAGAAAATATTGGTCTTTGACATGATGCCTGAGGCCCAACTCCAGTGACAATCAAATCAAAAGTCATCAACAGGCAAAACTTCCCCACTGTGCAAGCATGGATCCACTGAGGAGACTGGAGAAGCTCCAGTTCCTCTATTAGCCTTGGGGGTTTGACAGGGACATGTCCAGGACGATCCCTCCCTTCAGCTACGGCTGCCCCAGCCCTCTGGTGCCTACAAATGTGCCATTTCCTAATAATGTACAGATCTGACCTGAAGGTTGGGTGGAAGTGTGTGGAGCCCCAGGAAGGGAAGCATTTTACTTTGGGGACCATAGATCAACTTGGACACTGTGTGAAACGCATTAAGAGGAAAGCTCCTCCATTTCCACTATTATACCCCAGGAAAAGCTGGTACAAGGAAGGCCCTGGTGCCCTCATCTCAACTGAAAAGGAAGCAAAAGGGATGGAGAGGACTTCAGTCTGTGCTTCGGCTCTCCCTTTTGCTCTGTGCACATACTGATGCTCCCACAGGTCATGTTTGCAGAAGCAAGCACGAATCTCTCTATGATTGCAAGGTAGTAATTAAATTAAATCTAACATTTGCTGCGCCCCTTTATCTGTTAGGTTATCTGTTGTCTCCTTTTGGGTTTTCATCATGAAGCAGAATAGCTGCAGGAGAGAGAAACCCTCCTTGTTATCCTCAAGGTGGGACTGGATTTTGAAGAGCAATAGGTGATGCAGTGCTGCCGTAGCAGGAGAAGGCCTGTCCGGGGAGGAGGCAGTGAGGGAAGCAGAGGAATGCCTGCTGCCTCACCAGCTGCTGGAGGCACCACTGGAAAAAAACAGGTCTATGGGGTGGAATTTTGCTGTAGGTTTCCCATTTAAATGGGAGTGCCAGCTGGGGTGGGTTGTGCTGCGGTATTAAAGAAGAGAGCGTTAAGAGCAGCTTAATAGTGCCGCTCGCAGTGAGCGGGTCAGCATCCACGGTGGGGAGGACAGTCAGCTCAAGGAGGGACCACCGGGCTGCTCGACGCTCCTCCCACCCGAACCCAAGCCTTCCCCCCTCCCTGGGTGCCAGCCACCTGAGGCTGGGCGCCGACAACCCCCGGGGGAGGGAGGCAGGCCCGCGCACAGGCCCTGACACCCGGCTGAGGGGCGG